TTGTTATTCTGTCACGACATAATGTATGTTTTTTTTTATAGACAGGATATGAACGATTTCTCTTGTGTCCTGAATTGTTCTCTTGGAGGTAAATTGTCTCCTCCACCCTTCTTATTTCCTCACCGGATATGGCGTAAGAGTCAAGAGACATTCGAACCGGAAACTAAATACCAGGTTGCAGACTGTGGACTGTTCAGAAAGAGCTTGTGGTGAATAAAACACACAGGACCGAAGCTGACCACAGTGCATTCCTACAGAAACGCATAGAGTAACTCTTTGAAGCCCAAGCTCGTCAAATAACATCAACATTTCAGTCCGTACCGCAAAGAAAACACCTCACTTCACCGTTACAAATATCAACTGGTTAACGCCGTTCAATGAAATAATCGCTGTTTATTCATAAAACAATACGAAACTCATAAATAAATTCTGGGTTATGCAGGGTTTACTGAACGAAAATCAGGTGGTATATATAATTACCATTCGGCCTTAAACCAGAGTTACATCACTACAGTCTATTCACCGAGAAATGGCAGTCGATTCGACGTAGACAGTGATGACGTAGTTAAGTAAGTACCCGCTCCGAGGGTCAAAGAGTCAATGCAACCAGCATAACAAGAGTCTACGTAATAATTAACTTCTATGTTTGCATCCACCGTCTCGTCTCGGTGAACAGACAGTAGTCAACATTAATCTCACGATAATTATCTCCGAGTTTGAAGACGCATTTCATGACTTGGCATGACTTCAGTCATCACCAAGGACAAAATATCCAGTACCATGGACATTTCCCGTGTCTCCAAACAATTACGTCAGGAGAAAAATTGTACGTCGTAAGTTAAACGCAATATCAATGCAAAAGTTAGCTGAAACACGCTGAAATGGCTTGTAAATATTTGTAATATTCATATAACTTTTGTAAAAAAAAATAATTACAGAATACAAACAAATCGTGTATCGTACATTCTAGCAGTGATGCAAAACTTAGAAGATAGTTAAAAATTACAAAAAGGAAATTATAAAAATGAAAAAAAAAATAGGAAAATGTCGATGTTGGTCTTCTGGGTTTTAAGCTTCAGCGTTAAAGATTGAGGCATTATGTTCCCCAAACACGCTGGTATCTACCTACAAGTTCACAATGCGTTACAACCCAGAAAACCAAAATAAGCAGGCCGGAGGGGGACTTCGTACTAACACTTGTCCATAATGCTTACAGCTCCTAAGAAGGAGGTTTGTTGGAGAATTTCCAATTCTTCCAACCCCCTGCGAGACGTTTGGCAGGACTCCTTAAACGGGGGTCCGCCCGTTTCGAGGTCTCTACCTACGTAAAGACACACACTTGCTTCAAACTGGATTCAAACCCACGATCCCAGTATTGCAGAGGTCAAGATCCACGCCTTGCACAGCAATGAAATAATCGCTGTTTATTCATAAAACAATACGAAACTCATAAATAAATTCTGGGTTATGCAGGGTTTACTGAACGAAAATCAGGTGGTATATATAATTACCATTCGGCCTTAAACCAGAGTTACATCACTACAGTCTATTCACCGAGAAATGGCAGTCGATTCGACGTAGACAGTGATGACGTAGTTAAGTAAGTACCCGCTCCGAGGGTCAAAGAGTCAATGCAACCAGCATAACAAGAGTCTACGTAATAATTAACTTCTATGTTTGCATCCACCGTCTCGTCTCGGTGAACAGACAGTAGTCAACATTAATCTCACGATAATTATCTCCGAGTTTGAAGACGCATTTCATGACTTGGCATGACTTCAGTCATCACCAAGGACAAAATATCCAGTACCATGGACATTTCCCGTGTCTCCAAACAATTACGTCAGGAGAAAAATTGTACGTCGTAAGTTAAACGCAATATCAATGCAAAAGTTAGCTGAAACACGCTGAAATGGCTTGTAAATATTTGTAATATTCATATAACTTTTGTAAAAAAAAATAATTACAGAATACAAACAAATCGTGTATCGTACATTCTAGCAGTGATGCAAAACTTAGAAGATAGTTAAAAATTACAAAAAGGAAATTATAAAAATGAAAAAAAAAATAGGAAAATGTCGATGTTGGTCTTCTGGGTTTTAAGCTTCAGCGTTAAAGATTGAGGCATTATGTTCCCCAAACACGCTGGTATCTACCTACAAGTTCACAATGCGTTACAACCCAGAAAACCAAAATAAGCAGGCCGGAGGGGGACTTCGTACTAACACTTGTCCATAATGCTTACAGCTCCTAAGAAGGAGGTTTGTTGGAGAATTTCCAATTCTTCCAACCCCCTGCGAGACGTTTGGCAGGACTCCTTAAACGGGGGTCCGCCCGTTTCGAGGTCTCTACCTACGTAAAGACACACACTTGCTTCAAACTGGATTCAAACCCACGATCCCAGTATTGCAGAGGTCAAGATCCACGCCTTGCACAGGGCGACTACTCGTGTCAACATTTAAAAATCCCAGACAATGTCCAGTAGCACTGAGTATTATTTAGGGCAATCAAATCAAGTATGATGGGATGGGCGAAGTGTGTAGCATGCAAGGAAAAACCTAAATAAAGGGACCGCTTGGGACACTCAGGCGTAGATGTGTTGATAATATTAAAAAAAGCCCTAAATAAGAAGTGTTTGAGGGCGTGGATTTTGTTAAAATGGCTCAGGATAGGGTCCATCGGCAGATTGCTGTAAACTCATGAAAACTACCAGTGATTCATTACATAAAAGCGATCCATGAGTTCGTAATTTTATTTTCAAATTTTTAACAGCGTACAATAATAAAATACGCACATTTTCCAAAGATCTATTAGCATATAAAACTGTAAGACACTACAATGAATTACGCTAGTATTGTTTAAATCACAGAAGTCTGTGCAATTTCCATGACAACAGAATTAGGAAGAAGAAACAACTTTTTTATGACACGCTGCTCATACGTAATTTCACAAAAATCTATCAATGCATATAACAATAGTCCATAACATAATTTCAGAACAGATGTATGGTGCGACAGACATCACCAACAATTAAACATCGAAAATGTGTTAATAAATACAAGAATTTAAAAATATGCCATAAAATCTCAGAGTGAAATCATAATTTTCAAAGTACTGCCATAACACATAACAAAGTCCACTGTTTCTGAGTAGCTTAATTTTTAAAAGGCGGGTATTTGAGCCACTTCTTAATTAAAATCCTGTTTCTAACTGCAAGATGTGGGCACACCCGTTACATCGCGTGAAATTAAAAAAACCGTTGGTTGACATAGATGTGTGGGATATGTGAGTTATGCTTTCAACACCAAGAAACGTGCATCGCCATAACTAGAACACGTGGGTAGCCGGGCGAGCGATCCGGTCTGCAAGAAAAGGCGATTGATTGATTACTCCTACACTGTTCGTCCAAAATGGCGTGCGGGGCAAACGCCATGGAAGAGAAAGTAAACTACTTTCCATCAAGACTATGTAAATGTGAACTTTAAACAACTTTATGATTTAAAAAAGTATCAAACTCCAGTGCTCGTATGATTTCATACTAACTAACTAACTAACCAACCAGATGGCTTAGGGAACCCGAAGGTTCATCACCGAATTAACCAAAGCCCTCCACCGGACCCTGTCCTGGGCCAACAAAATCCAGTCTCCTTCAACTCCTATCGCCCATAGATCCCGCCTGAGATTATCCTCCCATCTACGTCTAGGTCTCCACAGAGGTCTCTTCCCCTCAGGTTTCCCAACCAGTACCCGGTGCACACCTCTTGTTCCATCAATGCGCGCTACATGCCTCGCCCATCTCATTCTTCTCGACTTAATAACCCTGACAATACTGGGGGAGGAGTACAGATTTTTAAGCTCAACATTATGCAGTTTTCTCCAGGCCCCATCGTCTTCCCTCTTAGGCTCAAATAATGATTTCATACTACCGAAAGAAAATAATTAACAATTTTTCGCAAAATGAACAGAGAAAAAAAACATCACGCATAGATTCCTGACGATGAGGAAAATTTCAGCACCTTATGTGAAGGGAAACAGTTTCAGAACAGCCTGACAGCTTAAAACCTATAGCAAATACGGCACCAAAGAAATTAAAACAGGATCTACTAAACTCGCGGACCCCCAGTTGATAAACAATAGGTCATGTGACAAACTGCGCCTTCCGCTACGTTTTTGTTCCTAAATATCCCGGATGTGGCTCGCAGCGCTGCAAACCGCAGACGTCTGTGGATCTTCATTTGTTTAATGAAATGCGGGCTGGTGCCTCACTACAAAGAAGTATGCTCTGAAGACTAATGCAGAGCTTTACCCGGAAAAATTACGACAGAAAGTCATATATTCACGTCATCATATATAACTAGGAAAAGTGTCCGTTCTACACCTGAGGGTTTCGTAAGACAAGTTCCACTAAAATAAGGAAGTTGCTTATTCACTGTAGCAATCTTATGTAAGTTCCCACAAGAACGCCTTTTTTTTCTGAAATTGGTCGAAAATAATTTGTTTTCTTACATGTTTTATTTTTAAATTGCGAATATCAACCCCCCCCCCATTTTAATGAAATAAATAAAATAAATACGAGTTGTGAGCAATAATCAATTAAAATATATCCAGATCGCCATGGACTCCGTTGGCATAAAGCTGATATCGAATTTCGAAAAAATTTGATACACACAAACATACATAATAAAAAAATCTCTTATACTCAGGCAATAAAATATCACGGAGATGAATACGCACGATTGCATACAGGAAGATTCAAAAGTCACTATGCACCTGTAAGAACAAGTATTGGAAACGTGTGTACACAGGGACTTTTAGGTTACCTCTCACTTGTTCTCACACGCGCACAGGGAAATTTTAATCACCCTGTATAAGGCAATATGAGCATTTAGCCAAAATAAATACGTCCACACATTAAACACCAACGATGACTCCTACTAACGCCGAAGTACCCGCGTGTGGGGCTGGCAACTAGCACACTAATTATCTGTATTTGGTTACAGGCGCGGTTCCAGCAGAAACAGATGCAGGAGAAAGAGGAGAAACTGCTCAGGTTGTACGAGAGTCAGACTCAGAAGGCGTTTCAACGTGTGGGCCGCGGTAGCGCGGGCAGTTCCTCCTCTTCTGTGTCGTCGACTTCGTCTTCGCTCGGCGGAGGCAAAGTCCGTCAGTTATTCCAGGACAGAAGACATCCTGGACGGTCATACACCAACGGTAACAAGCAAGGGGCTTCGGGACCTACAGGCTGGGACCGCAGTTACCCACGTACACCAACGGTAACAAGCAAGGAGCTTCGGGTCCTACAGGCTGGGACCGCAGTTACCCACTTGAACCCCTCGAAAGCGTCACAACTACCACAAAACGTCTTCAAGTTTCCAGAAGCACCGGTAATCTTAAAGCTGCTAGAGGAATCAGCCTTGAGAGGAACTATTCCAACAGTGTCGTAACAAATAACCAGCACATCCAGGCAAAGAACGAGGCCCGTCGGTCGAAAAGTCAAGTTCGTAGTAACAATTACGTCTTAGCCGAACCAGAGGGCAGTTTCAGACAGTTGGATCTTCCTCAGCAGAAACTATACCACGACCAAGATAACGACGATGATGACTATGTAGATTACCCGCAAAATCATCATTCGAGAGCTTATCAAGACGAACAGAATAACAGAACTCGTTCAGCAAGAGAACACAGGGAAACGGAAATTTTCCACAAACACAGAATTTCCGACAATTATGAACACGAAGATATCGAAAATGAAGATCCCCCATTTCAACAACTTGATGACGACGATGATGATTATGATGTGAATGACTTCAATGATTCATCACAAGCGTTTCAGAAACTTCCTAACGTTGGCGGTCGACTCCTGATGGAAACCAAAGCCAATAATATCAATAACAATAATAATAATGTTGAAAGGTATAAAACTTTCAATTCGGTGAGCAATGGAATTCGTGCCAACAGAAGGAATATGAGTGAAAGACAGGGCAGTGGGAAGACAGCGACGCCTCCCGCCGACAAGGACCCTCCTCAGCGTCGTCGGGACCCACAGGAAGCTGCCCCAGTGCCCAAACCCAGGGCCACGAAGCCAGACGTGAGTAACAACTTGCAAACTTACATTTACGCACTACAGACGTTACAAATGCGTTCACGCACTGATCCTGGTTTTGTCTGCTTGTACCGTATGGAAGTGGACTACGGCCTTAACCACCAGTGCTGATGATGAAGGCAGTATGTTCCTCTAAAACGTTCGGAAACAGAGACAACTTCTAAACGGTGCAAGCATCCAAAAGTAACATTAACAATGTTTCACAGTGAAAGGTAAAAATCAGTTTACGTTCGCATTTGTTTATATTGGTAGTAATTTGCAAAAACTAGGTAGCAGAACGTTTTTCATAACCAAACCTCGAGCGATCACCGTCCGTAAATGCTACGAAAGATACTTTAAAACACTGTTATATGTTGCAACGCTGTTTCCTTATGAGCAATAATCTATTCATAGATGTGTTTTAAAGTATCACCATCTGTATTTAACACATCAGGTTACAAGAATTAGCACATGTTACACGATAAATGTACGATGTACTAGACTCTTTAGCACGGGCTGCTTGTTTTATATTTTATATTAATCAGGAGACCTTCGTATTTTTATTGTGTTAAATTTCAGTATGACTGGCCAAGTCCCCCTACGGACATGCTAGACCAAGATAATAGGAAATATAATTGTCTGAAAAAATCTAGAAAATGGACATTCGATTTGGTCGCTTGTTATTGTATTTGTCGATATTAAAATATGGTAAATGCAATGAATCGAATCGGTCGGAGAACGTAACTCCATGGAAAATGTAAGGATTATTCCTTTCGCCGCCATTTTCAACCTGCAGAAACAGGACTGTACATATTTTTTTAAAAAAGTAAGACTTTACTAAAATATATAATAAAATACAGGTCAATACACAAAACTTTATTTGGATGTTAAAATTTAAAATTTAAATGTTAAAATTTTAAATTTTAACATTTAAATTTGTATTTTATTATATATTTTAATCAAAAACACAAACATGACGCATGTAAACCTTAAGACTTTACTGTCCAGAGTCGAAAAGTAGATGAGCTAAGGTTACCAACTAACAGCTTCTTCAAATCGGTAAATATTTCATATGAGGTCTCGGTATGAATATGACTGTCTTCTGTGATGTTGCGTCGTAATCTAGTAGAAGTTTACTCATCTCCCTGATAATGGAGGCAGTACGTACCTCTGAAGAATTGGTAAACTTCTACCAGTCCACATCGTCACACCCAAAGATCCTTTTTAATGTTATCCTCTCGTGTATGCCTAAATATCCGAAGTCATCTCTATAGGTCAACATTTCCGTTCGTGCTACATTCCGCGCCCATCGCATTCTCCGTGATTTATAACCCCAATAAAGTATGTTTACAAATACATCTGATCTGCGTAAACTGATCGCATTTAAAACTACATAAATGTGTAATTTTTACACATAATACATTTAAATATAACGCAGACTGAAGCTAAAATTCTGTGAACTCCATATTTATTTGATGCTTATGTAAGTTAAAGTGGGCAATTCTGTAGTCGAAGTCCTTGGTACAACACTCAACAGCGATGACTAAGTGTCATTGGAGCCTGAAGTGCTATTCAAACACGCCTTAATGTCCTACACAAGGAAAAGAGATAAATACATTGCGAATAATGTTTCTATTCTCCTTAACATCTGACCTCATCAGTATTCTGAAGTCTTCTGCGAAGAGACTTCCCGTATTTCCTCATCGTTTGTATTCCATTCACATTTCTTAGCAATATTAAACTTTTCTTCCATTTTATCTTGGAATTCCGTGGTTTTCTTCCTTACACTTTTTCTTTTCTTTTCTTTTCTTTTTGTGTGTTTTCTGTCTGACGACAGGTCCATATGAACAGGATCCTTCCATCCTTTTCTCGGACTGGGACCTGTTCATATACGTTCTTGGCAGATGATCCAGAAGGTGTTTGCCATTTCCTTCTTCTGTGTGTGAATGGAGTAATCGTTGGGATGCCTTATTTCTTTAGTGTTCTGTCTGACGACAGGTCTATATGAACAGGATCCTTCCATCCTTTTCTCGGACTGGGACCTGTTCATATACGTTCTTGGCAGATGATCCAGAAGTGGTTTGCCATTGCCTTCTTCTGTGTGTGAGTGGAGTAATTGTTGGGATGCCACGGAGAAACCGGGGAAGCCCCCGGAGGAAAACTCCGTGACGCCTAGACCACGGCCTTGCCCAACACAAGTTATAAATTCGGGCACCGCCGGGAATCGAACCCGAGACCCCAGGATTACACTGAAAAGTCGTCAACATCATCCTGCAATTTTTCATTCTACTGTTATATTGCATACGCTGTAGATCAAACGTCATTGAATAAACAACATTTTAATGAAGTTAGTTGGGTGCTACTGGAAGTGTACTAAACGTAAAAATTGCAAAAAAAAAAATAATAATAATAAAGAACTGGAGGTTTTGTACGGAAAATCCGCATTTCTGTTGATGGATGTATTATTGATATTTCAACTCAAAGAATCACAGCCCTTCTTTCGAAACTGATGGTCGCTGAGCTAGTCAGTATTTCATGGAGCCAGCGTAATCTTCTCTACAACCTCTCATCCTATTTCCTTAACGTTCATTTAATATTATCCCCATCTACAATTTTTTTATTCAAAACATTACAAGACCATTTGTCTGTGATGAAGATGAAATTAACAAAACTAAATTAAACTGACGTTATAATGAATCCATTTAAAAACAAAAACAAATGTAATAACTCAAAGAAGTAGGTTTACATGGGTCTAAACGTATTTGTGGCTTGATGATGACACGTTCACGATGAAACATGTAGCCGGAGGAAAGTTATATTCAAATATGAATAAAGTTATTGTGTTCCCGGAAAATATAACATAGACGAGAGAACCAAGTTTCGCACCCATACAAAAGAAAGGGTAGAAACACAGTTTCAACTGAGAGTTCCTTGAGCACTAGACAGCTGTAACGCTGAACAAGAGGTTCCGTGTTGTCACGGAACCGGAGGATTCAGTGACTGTCAACGCACCAGCCCGGAACTGGAAATTCCAGAATTACAGTTTGTAACTGCGTATGCCTCACAAAGCCTTCTACAACCTGGCACAGCTTTTATTAAAGTATATCAAGTTTCTAGTATTAAGACGATTAAACAGACAATATCATACAGTTTCAACATCATAAGACAGTTTACAACAAAAATATCTTAATAAAAATGTTAGATATTGGCATTTGAAGAAAATGTTCCAATCAGAAGCAAAACTTCGATAATATATTCATATAATTAGAAATGAAACAGAGAGGAAATGTGAAAAAGTACGAACTTCAAATAAAATTGTTTTGTAAAATGTTATAATTATGAATAACACAGAGAAACAAATTTTAGAAGATGGCCGATTTCTGGGTTATATCGCCGTGTGGTCTGGTAGACGTTTAACGACGTTTCAGAGGTCCTCTTAAACGTTGTCAAACTTCTACAAGACTACACATCGCTACAAACCAAAATACAGCCATGTTCGTAGTCACTGCCTTGAAAAGCCTAAATCCTGCTAAACAAATTTTAGTTCAAATACAATCTCGAGTAAGAATACGTTAATCCCATCAGTTTTATACGGCTGTGAAGTTAGGTCACAAAATTGATAAAGACAACGGAGACGTACAGCAAGATTATTATTTTATTATTATTAGTGTTCTGTCTGACGACAGGTCCATATGAACAGGATCCTTCCATCCTTTTCTCGGACTGGGACCTGTTCATATACGTTCTTGGCAGATGATCCAGAAGTGGTTTGCCATTGCCTTCTTCTGCGTGTGAATGGAGTAATTGTTGGGATGCCACGGAGGAAAACTCCGTGTTGCCTAGACCACGGCCTTGCCCAACACAAGTTATAAATTCGGGCACCGCCGGCAATCGACAGCAAGATTCAGTTTATTAAACAACAGAATAAATTAGGGTACGAACATGGAACCAGTCGAAAATATATTTTCACGTTACAAACAAAAACGAAACATGAAAGCCACTTTGCATACAGAGTAACTTCTTGACTGACGATCTGTCTGAAGACGAAGTCATGAGGCGGCCATGAAATGAGATACTCAATTTACAACTGAATATACCTTAATTTACTTCCACTCCTAATATAATAGCCAATGTCCGTCACGCTTGGCTGTAAGAGTTTTCTGTTCATGCGATGTGGAATGAAAGAAAGATCGAAGTTTCTGACGGTGGAAACTCTGGTAGCAAATAATACAAACGAGGCTAGGGTGGGGTCTGCGTTTAGTCTGATGTCAAGGCGTATGTTTTGAGCAGGCTTCAGTCGCCATGAAGATGTCTTCTTATTCAATTTACTTCATTCTTTTTACTTTCAATGAGATTTGCAAAGATAATATTGAAATAAACCGTATCGCTGTTCGACACAAAAAAAATCATTCCCGTAAATTTTGACTAGCAATGAAGATAAGGGACATAGACTTAAAGAATAAAAATATATTTCTGGTAGTGTATTATGACTTGATATTTTCACACAGATAATAAAAGAATTTGGAGCCAAAGGTAGGGCTTATTATTTATTTAATTTCATTCGTCTCTTTATTTATAAATACCAGAATTATTTACAGTAGTTCCTACTTATTTGAACTATGCCATTCTTTTAGACAGTTATTACTGCTGCTGATAATTTAATTAGCTCTCCTATCGGCATCGTCCTTAATGCATCTTACTACCCGTGTCATTATTTGCATAGACAATGATCAAACTTGATTTAAACATTTCACAAAAAGTCCCGCGATGTCTTACCCTGTGACATGCCTGTATAAACACACGGCACCAACTAAGACAAACAAAACTTTAACAGGGCAGACGCCATCCTCTTAGTGTCAGCATGATTTTATTTTATGTTTGTAAGAAATTATGAAAGAAGACAAGACATTCCCTTCTTTGGTTCTTCATAATGACGTAATTTATGGCACGCTCAACTACAAGGCCGTCTCGAGTAACTTCACAGCTCAGACCACAAATACCGAGGCCCGTAACCCAAATGTATCTCGGCATTAACATTGTTCGTGGTTCATGTCATATTTGTGATAAAAAGTGATAGTGGAACCACGGTTCCGGAGAATTAGACGTAAATACGTCTATACGGAAAGGAAGTTTATATATTGGCTATATTCTAAATATTTCCTTTATACATCCTTTACAATTGAGATAAATTTGATTAAGACATTGCTTATTTAACTTGAATTAATTACGCTTAATATGGGTCTGTGGTAGATGAATGTAATGTAAAGTAATGTATTTTAATGTAATGTAACGTTTCCTAGGTAACAACAATGCCGAGTAAACAATTAACGTTTCCTAGGTAACCATCTTACACATTTTCCTTTCACTTTTTCGTAACACTTTTTTTCGGAATGACACTGACCCTTCCATATAGACGTATTTACGTCAAAACTTATACTCTGGAACAAATACGCTGTAATATTTTTTTTGTCGTAAATACGTCTATACGGAAGGTTCATTCGGCAAAAGAGTGAAAGGAAAATGTATAAGATGGTTACCTAGAAAACGTCGTGTTTACTCGGCATTGTTGTTACCTAGGAAACGTCATCTGTTTACTCGGCATTGTTGTGTTTCATTACTTCCGTCAACAATCCGCTTTCGTTATTGCGGAAAGAGTTGAGCTGAGAATCGCTTGTAGAAGAAGTGCCTCGTGGACGAGATAATTTTGTGCTGGTAAAAACGTTTTGGTTGAAGTTTCGAAACATCTTCCTTTTTACGGTGCAAGGACCGAGCAGCAGAAGAAAGTTTCAGAATATCAAAAGTACTTATCTTATATAAGAATTATTACATTACATTACAGAGACGTATTCTCCTGAACCGCGGTTCCACTGTCAACATTTTTGCACTGACATTTTCCGAATTTGCCAGAGTTTTACAAATTCCAGTGTTAAACCTGACTCCCTAATATCATGGTCAGGTTTCTATACCTATATTTACACTCGCCTTGCTTGCTTCCTGCATTATCAGGACATTGCCCTGATGATGGAAGAAGTAAGTACCTTCGAAACGACGGTCTCTTTCAGAAAACAATCTATTCATAGTTTTACCTGGGTTTCTGCTACTTGTATCTCAATGACGTCTACATAAGGAAATGAGTGAATCCCACTCAACAATTCTCTTGGATAGTATTCTCTCTTACTGAGGGATGACTTCGCACGTACCTAACCTAACCAGTTTGGCTTTTTGTTGGTTTCACTTTTATGCACATTAGCAAGAGTAATTACGAATACTAACTTTCCAAAAAATTACTTGAAGAATGTGGCGGAAAATCCTCATGTATTCTTTTATCTTTACTGTACCCTCGGATGCTTCCATGATCTCATACCTGACCACTGCTGAATCAATTAAAGCGAAGCGTGAAGTGACTCCGGGCATTCGTGCAAGGGATAACCCCACTTCAAGGTCCCTATTGTTTCTCCGCTACTTACGACCTTCATGTAGTAACCGCACGAATAAAAAGATACGATTTGAAACGAGCTGTAAAATTTCTAAGTTCTTCGTGAAATGTGTGTTGATGCACCAATAAACAGATCCAAAATTCTGTATCCCTCCCCATTACATTTTTTTTAAAAAAATGAAAATATTACGCCTGTTTTGAAGACGTTCTTTATAATTATATAACTCTCGTAGCTTTCTATACACATTTATTGAAGTAATCTCTGTAACGCCAAACATTACAACTGTATTCGAAACTCATGCCAAAAATGGCATATCATTTAGATAGTATGCGAAGTTTACGCTGACAAAATTAGTGTTAACTATTACAGCCCTAAGTAACAGCGTTAGCAACCTTTGAATTGGGTTAAAACTTTGTATTTCTAAGAAAATAAAGTGCAGTGTTGTTAAACACAACAACAAAATTGCACGTTTTGCTTTAACGTTTACACAGCACTCATTATGAGGGCATGTTCTTTAAATCATACGAAAATACAACAGCAAATCGTGAAGTTGGTATTGTAATCGTCTAGTCATGAGGTCGAGCTCAGACTATGACCACCCATCAAGGATGAAGTGTAATGTTTCAATACATCCACACCCGCACATGTCGCGAAGGGTCACTGGAACATAGACCTATATTTGTCACTGTCATCTGTCTTTTCGAAAAATCCACATCCAAGAAGTTCAAAATTTCTTTTAACTGGCCATTGCAGTATTTCACCCCTAGGAGGTCAGACCCCTATTAATTGGGTTTATGCAAAAGCAGGCATAAGTTACCTAGCGTCACCACGCGATATAAACTGTCAAAGTTGACCTCGGGTATCAGACAGACCAATCAGAGAAAATTATTCTGACTTAAATTTAAATTATTCAACCAATCACAAAACAAAGCGGGAAGTCGAACAAATGATGTTACAAAATTTCAGATTTCGAAACGAGTGGGAGAAATTAATATCTTTGAGAGAAAACTTCTTTTAGAGTCAGTCGTCAGTCATTTGTTGCAAGTTGAAACGTTATCACAGACGCATCGGTGTAGTACATTAACTTTTACCAATATCTTGCGGAGAAATTAATTCAGCAATCAACTTAAATAAATACCTAAAGACACAGCTGAGGCGATCTGTAATAAAACCCCGTAAACCCAGCATAAGAATCTCACAAATTCCTTCATCAAACCCGATCCCACCTTGGCAAAACGCTGCAAAGAAAGGGAACGTTTACAGTATGTTTAACACACAAATCAGCTGTGCGTTAATTCAGTCAACGTAATCACATATTGGAACGCTCCGGTGAAAGTATTTTCATTTGTAGCCGCTAATCTTTGCTGCAAGAGTCACTCTTTCTCCAAATTACTGCGACGGTAAATTCAGCCCAGCGAAGTAAATTACCATTTTACGATATCAATTTTTCCGTGCAGAAAGTAGGTCCAGTGACGCTGTTCAAAAAGTGAGAACGCTATCAAGTTCAGAAAGTTCAAGAACCTTTCTGAATACTTTCCATTCCCTTCTATAGTTTAAGAATACACTTTCTCACTGCCGCCACCTCCATTCGTCACACTGACGATGGAGGCAGTAGGCTCCTCCGAAACTTCAGCCAATATGTACCGGACTACACGGAAGATAAGTCTTCATATTGGACACAGTGAAAACCTAAAACCTCATATACAAAATTTCATTGTAGTTTTCTATATTCATCTGGTAAAACTCGCTTAATCCGTTCATTTGAAATAGCTGTAGAAGTATAGAATGTCCGAAAAAATATGTACAGACATAATAAGATGGCCGCCCGTCAGTCAATTACTCATTGCTGTAGATCTGTGCCACGATGCTAAAGGTGGTCATTTTTAACACCTGCGATAGATTCGCTAATTCACCAAGTACCAATGCGCTCACATATGTAATGGTTTAGTTTGTACAATAATTTATTTACCGTCTATACACAAACTTAAAAATGTTGTTAAAATTACTTAAAATTACAACATTTTTTCATTAAATACTAGATCTTGTTACATTTTATATTGACGACATGTTTCGATGTGTATTACACCATCATCAGGTCTATCAATTTTTAAAAACTGTTGCAAGATCTAGTATTTAATGAAAAAATGTTGTAATTTTAAGTAATTTTAACATTTTTAAGTTTGTGTATAGACGGTAAATAAATTATTGTATTAATAAACACAAACATGACGCAATTAAGATATAAACGGTTTAGTTTATGTAAATGTCTCCAGTTCATTCATATTTTTGTGGCAACCTGTACAGATGTATTTCCAGCAACTACCGAAATTACTGCAATTTTGTCCTGTTTCAGGTAAAGGTCACAAGTAATTCATCTCCGGCAAAGGGGTCACCACCTAAAAATACCGCTCCGAGAAAACAAGAATCCGTCAGTCAGGAAGCAGATTCGGCAAGCATGTTTGGCAAGAAGGTAAAACTTTAATCTTGGTATGAAATGTTTCATTCTGCAGCACAAATACTGGAATATGGTTGTGGTATGGATTTAAATGCTACGTGGTCACTGAATCTTACACAAAGTACACTTCTTTCAAAATCCTTGCCACAAGAAAATTTAAGGCACAATTTAGTGACATAAAAGTTCAGAAATCAATTTTATTCTTCAACTTCCACAGAAAGGGACAGAACGTGGTCAAGCCCCCCAGACACCGCCACGTGGTCCAACAGCAAGAGGTCCTCCTGCTAGGGGGTCTGTAGGGGCCCAATCACTTCAGGATCTGAACGAGTGTCGAATTTGCGGCAGAAATTTTGCATCAGATCGTATCATTAAACACCAAGAAATATGTGCGAAGACAACTCAAAAGAAGCGAAAGGTGTTTGACCCTACGAAGCAACGAGTAAAGGGAACTGACGCAGAGGCCTTCTTGAGAAAGGGTCGGCCACAGGCAGTAAAAGTAAGGCAACACATTAAATGTCACCAAAATTTTAGTAACATTATTCTCCTTTACAGGAGATTGGCGACAGGTCCATATGAACAGGATCCCTCCATCCTTTTCTCGGACTGGGACCTGTTCATATACGTTCTTGGCAGATGATCCAGAAGTGGTTTGCCATTGCCTTCTTCTGTGTGTGAATGGAGTAATTGTTGGGATGCCACGGAGAAACCGGGGAAGAAGCCCCCGGAGGAAAACTCCGTGTTGCCTAGACCACGGCCTTGCCCAACACAAGTTATAAATTCGGGCACCGCCGGGAATCGAACCCGAGACCCCAGGATTACAAGGCCAGCGTTCTAACCGCTAGACCACCGTGGCGGCATTAGTAACATTACACGTGTTTAATCCATCAATTCATATAAAACAGAAATTACTGTAGAAAGAAAGAGCCACCTGTTAATGGAAGGATTAAACATTTTACTGAATATGCCATCTGCCACTTCCGGTAGCACCAATAATTAACACGTGACATAAAACTCAAAGTCCTCCCACACAGGAACACTAATCAGTAACGTCCAATATGAATACGCGCAATAAAAATAAAAATGTCCTGGGTATAGGACTCATTGGGGTCTTTCTTTCTTTCTTTCTTTCTTTTTTTTTTTTTGGGGGGGGGGGTCAGTTCCATTCTCTGGTTACAAATGGCATGTGAAATCCAAACAGGGATATCTATAAATAATATTGATGTCCATCTTCTAGGTTGTGATGCCATCTTGGCTTGTGGGCGGATACCTGTGTTTTGGGGGCAAATACTTCTTCCATTATCTTCAGGGAGGCAATTGTATCTACTTGCAAGTCTACAAGGCATTACGATACAAAACAGCATCAACATCTTCACTGCTGTGAGAAACTCAAACCCCATCTACTATAAATATTGTCCTACATAAAATATTCACTGTTCTTATTACAGACTGTAAAGAAATCAAACTGGCGGCAGAAACACGAAGACTTCATCAACAACATCCGAGCGGCAAAAGAGATGAAGGCACACATAGCAAGAGGAGGGAAACTGTCCGATCTTCCTCCGCCTCCACCTTCAGATTATTCCGATTACGTCCAATGTCCTCACTGCTCACGACGCTTCAACCAACAGGCCGCAGAGAGGCACATTCCAAAGTGTGCCAACTTTGAATTCAATAAACCTAAAACACAGCAAGCAGGCAGAGGTACGCCGCATAAAGGCGCGGTACCCCGGAAACGCTGACGACAAAACTGAGTCTTCTTTGATAAATACTTATGATCAGAAATCATTACCCATTTAAATCATCTTAAAAACTTTAAGCTACCATACATTTAACGACAGATATAATTTTAACAGATCAGAATTTAACACCAAGTACTTCAAATTACATTCCACTTCCTTGCAGACTGATGATGGAAATACTTAATGAGTTAACACGATATTCATATTTCATATATAAAAAATGTAATAGTATATGCCTACATTTTATTAATACAGAATATGTAATATTTAATTTATTTGTATCTGCTTAAGAACACTGAGGTCTAGAACCAATGAATGTATAGATAATGGTCATAACTGTAAGGGTTGGTAAAGAAATTGATTTCTTTGGTATAATATTTAAGGAGCCTATTAAAAGTATATTAACATTATGTATATACCATGGGAAAAGTGAAGCTTAAATATTTCTGACAGTAGTGCGACACAATACATATAATTATTGATGAAAGACTCTTGGGCAACGAGCCGCGTCAGGTGGCTGAATGGTGAATGAACCATTTCTTCCGCCAACGTTTCGAGGGCCATCTCTGCTCTCATCCTCAGGGCAGCCGCGAAACTAGACTGGTCCTATGTAGAGCACTCGCCGTTGGGAAGAAATGGTTCATTCGCCAATCAGCCACCTGACGTGGCTCGTTACCCGAGAGTCTTACGTCGACTTCAGTCGCCGCAAAAGCTTCACTTTATACATATAATTATTGTTGGACTTTATCCATCATCCACGTGTTCCTAATTGAAACCACGCAGAATTAAGAGTAGCTCAAACCAACAAAAACAGAGAAGAGTTTTGTTCTCCCGCCATTCGTCTGAAGATGGATACAGAAACAATTTCTGATATGTCATGGTTTTAATTTAAAAACCATTTAAAAAATGGATAAAGTCCGATAGAATAACTATGCACGTGTTACCACACAGACATCCATTAGGTAACATTCTCTTTTGTAAAAATCAGATTTCTTTGATGAAAATATATAATTTATACTGAATATTTTATATTATTAAAAAAAAGGACAAAATTAGTAAATTCAAATGTAGAAAATGTAGTTTTATGACAGCCGAGACTACCCCTTCACTCTGAAACCAGATATGCCGCAACAATTTTACGCTGATGTGAACAACAAGAAATGTTCCAGCAGTTATAAACTACTGAAAAAATACATTTTATCTGGCGTTAGAACTTGAATTAAACCAAACCCTTCTTTAGTTTGTTTTCTAATGTATAAATAATTTTTACGTGAGAAATTTTCATTCAAATTGAAAAATAAGCAACTACTTCCAGCTTCCTGTAGGAGGGACTGAATTATACCACTTCCTCCAGAATGGCAAAATATTTCTAGTTCTGTTTCCTCTATTATGGGATAATAAACACACAACTTGTCTGAATAGGAGCGTATCCGAGAATTCAGATTTACTGAGGGAAAGCGAAACAAGGACCTGTCCACCACGCAAACCAAACTGGGCACTGCTTATGAATCAAACACATTACAGCAGAGTAAATCATTTTTGTCTCGTGCTCTCACTAGAGAACACGAGTAAAACTTTCAAAATGTAATGTTCAGTAGTTCTGAAGGCCTGGATTTTTAAAACAATTTCCTCAGTTTGGTTTAAAAATAAGTCCATGTACCTCATAATTTTCTACAGAAAAAAAATGTTAAAAGTAAATTAGCTAGGTTACGGCAGAATAACAGACAGATTAATGTTATTAACAGCTGATCTGGAATATGATTATAGTATTAGAAGAACCCAAGCTAAGACAAGAAACTGCTTTACTGCATATAGTTATTTTTGTTTTTCACACAAAACATAACAACGATTCAGTACCTTTCAGTATACTCAGAATTATTGTACAGAACGCGTTATACATTAACAATCAAAGGATTTCATCATCAGCATTGAAAAAATAGTGTAATTGAAGCAGTTTTCCAAGAAGCAGGTACATCAGTGAAACTTTTACATTCTCTTCAAGCTCTCTTTGTAAGAAGCCTGAAAATCTCTTATTGCACATTAACAAAAATTATATATCGAACTGATAAAAATTTCTTGCAGTTATCACGCAACAGATAAAAACAGAAGGCCACAAAAATACTGCCTGCAGTCAAAATTATTTAAACTGCAATGGATTCATGTTATGTCCTAAGCAGACATCAGATATTAGTTACATTACAACGCTGTCAAATTCTAACACAAACAGAATGGAATGGATACAGTGATGTTACTGTCGCACATAAGTTTACAACCACAATACGTAATTCAAATTATTGTTGATACTGATGATCATCTCGAGTGAGACGATAACAGTAAATGTGATTTTTAAAATGGAGTGTATTTTCTTGAACAACTTAAAAATAAAAATATTTTGATGACGATTCTTCGTAAATGACGACAATTTTCCTTTTCAGCCTGGCTCAGCACACGCCTTTAACGTCAAATGTAGTGAAAATCTGATCAAGCGTTCGGTAAGGAATAACGGCAAGGAGCGAGAGACATGACAGATTTGGATAATGATGGGTTAAATGACATACATTATATATAAGAAATATCACCTAAATACGAATGATTACTTCAGCTGGGTTACCAGCGACAGTTACTTTTGTTCAGTGACCTTTTTGTCAGGAACATCCTGTTTTCACAGTTCCGTCACAGATTCCTGTAATTGTACCAGCTACTATTATAGCCCAGTATAATCGAAGGGATTGGTGGAAGGACACATACCACACTTCCATCAAAAATTATGTTTTTTGCATAATATGTAAGCTTGCACCATCTAGAATCTGAGTTCAGAAGTTCTGCAGTGTGAGATATGCCCAACTTAGTTTCAGGTTCCTTCACTATATCATTTCTTGGTAGAAGTAGGGTCTATCCCACATCTGCTGCAAGGATGTGATTTTTCTGCAGATCTCCAAACATAATTTCTTTTACTAACAAGTGCAAGTGAATAATCATGGCTAGCACAGAATACGACTTTGTTATTATTACTGAAAATATTTGTGCTGTGATAAAAACAGATCTGTTTCGGAAAACACGTCAACGGAAAGAGCGATAATTATTGTGGAGTGTAAAGACAATAAAAGAAAGGTTTAAAGGGCCCGAGGCCGTGAGTACATGAATAGAAAACATAAGGTTGTGCAGAAACAGATTTGGAATGAAAACGAAGAGTGCAGCTCATCCGAGTCGTGTGGAAGTAAATCAATAACAGATGAGGAGTCAGAACCATAGCCACTGTAAGCAAAACAGCCAGGGAGCTTAAATATTTGGACTAATAAAGAAATTTCCATGCAAATTTATTGAAAGGAGAGGCTAGATGAAGACACATCTAGTCGTACAATGAGTGTACAGTACTGTGTTAGGCACCCGATTGGTGGATATGAAGTAAGACTGCATTTTGCAAATGTAAATTTTTAGACATTAGGTATTGCTGCTGGTATATTGAAACCCCCTTAAACATAGTTTCATCCTCAATTTCAATACTTTCTCCAGCAGAATGCATATGAATATTTGCACACAAACTTTATTCAATGCTGAGAATGTAACCACAAAATGGGAAGTTTGTACAGAGCTTAGAATGTTTCCATTTCTAAAAAAACTTTGCATTTTTCTCTCCAATGTTTGTAAATGTATGATAGGCCTCTCCACCACTAGTCCCTTCAATTATATTCTACCACAGGGAACTTAAAGATTTGGACTTTGCAATTTCTATAACAGACAACGCACGTGATAGAATATCCTGATGAACTACATCAACATCTTGGTCTGCGCTGATGACCTGGGAATAAACATAAGAGCACAGTGACATTCTCACTCCCCATGACACTGCTGTCCAATAAAGCCACTTAATTAAACTTGTTTATGGTGATGATGTTAATTCATTTGCGAATATAAACATGATATCAACAATTTTAAGTCTTCTTGCAGGTCAGTAATACAACTGCTCTAGATGTAAATATCGGTAAAAACTAAATATATAAGCAGACACAATACCATAATCAATAAACGTCATAATATAACTAAGCACAACGAATTATTTGAAAATGTTGCAAAATAAACATATCCGGGAAGAATAATAACAAAGAGAAAGAAGCTCAGAAAGTGTATTCCGGACCGGAATACACATAATATCCTCACGTGCTCTTTGCAATGTGCATTTACAGGTACTAAAGCCATCTTGTTCAACAGTTCCCCCTTTGGCCACAAGATCACAGCACCTCAATGTCTACTTCACAACTCCGTCAATGTAAGATACTGAAAAGTACAATTTTGAGGTCATGCAGAAGAGCGCAACCTCAAAATCAAATTTCATCCATCCAATAGTTCTTCAGCTGAATCTACTGGACACACAGGCATGACAAGCCCATAACGCGTTCTAACTATGCACTTTGTGATAAGAACACACAATAAGATTCATGATAATAGCAGAATAATCTTGGTAATGCATGTTATGATGGAGTCAAATGCTAGTTCTTCTAATTAAGTGTTTTCTTTGCAAGTTGTCTTCAATAATAATTCTATGATCAATTTTTCATAAAACAGCATAAGAGTCAGTACTCAAGCTTCAAAACTAAAGGCAGGATATGCAGATGATACTGAATGTCTTTCGACAGACACCAATCTTGAATGACGTGAAGGCTTAAAGGAGTTACCAACTTTCAACTGATTTGATCTTTACAGCTGTTGACATTCAATCTCGCAATTGAAGGGGTTGAGTAATCTGAGGTGTCTATGGTCATGAATCCCAAGTTCATGGCTCTAAACCAATCGGAGGGCAGAGATTTTTCTGTGTCGTGTAGTCCTGTGTAAATACAGGGTTTGCAAAGCAGTTCTACCACATATTTAAAGGAAACACTGTTTCAGACAGGTCACAGGACAAATACAGAGCCACAATTACACTTCTACATAAGTCTTAGTCCACTAATCGATAATGTCTTGTGCCTACCTGCCATGAGTCATCTGCCATCTTCAAGTAGTTGTTTCCCACTTTCTTCTGAATTTCAGTCGTTTCATATATTTCATTTCCAAATCCACCTCTCTCTGAAAGAGCTTCGGGACTTACAGTCAAGAAAAATACAGCATCTGGCTTTGGGAGCCCTGTTTCAGCCATCTTACACCATTCCCTATCCATGCCCTATTTACAAAAAGTAAAACTGCACATCAGAAGTGTCAGTCATCACGCCATTTACTAAGAAGTAAAGAATAAAAAACAAATCAGGTAACAAGTTATTTACTATAAGTCTATGAAAAGAAATACTTTCTACACATGGAATCTTCCAATCAGGTAAATATATGTCCTTCAATTATACACTCCACTCATTTCTAAATCAGCTTTAATCACTGCAAGTGTCAATTTATAATGGATTATATAAATTATAATAACAAATAAAGGAATAAAGATAGAAAAGTGTACCTCCTTAGTTGCCGAAAACGCAACTCCTGAGTACACATATCTGTCCACAATCAATGTAACACCATTATTAACACAGTCCTTTATCTCAGGTCTGGAACAAGAAAAGATTAATTTCATACTGCATAAAAATATTAACATATTTAAATTATTATTCTTCCTAAGATGCTTCCACATTTTGTGGTCATCTGTTAAACATTAGACAATGTAATGTGTACTTCAAACCCTTCCTAAAGTAAATATGAATTGAAGTTATGACAGCAGCAAAAATTTGGTACATGTAATCACCTACAAGACAACAGTGCATCATAACCTACAAAACAACTGATCTATTTGAATGTGTGAAGCAACATTATAAAGACATGGCTTGAATCTCAAAAATATATCATATTTAAAAACAAATTAATCTCTAGCAACAATAACAAAATGGAAAGGTTTAACAATGAAATAAATGGGAAAGCTGCAAAAACTAAGTCACTTATTAGTAGACAGGTCAAGTTCATATATCAAAAACCCTCAATCGTGGTAATTTAAGATGCTGCTTCATACGGGTGAAGAATATAAATACATAGTGTATTCGCCATGATTCACAACAAAACGTGCTGAAATTCAGATCAAAATTTGGAATTCAAAATTATGTGGGTTTAAAAACATTACTATTGATTCTGAACTGAATGTAGTCATGGCTGAAATTAAAACTTTGAAGCTTTTAAATGTAATATAAAATGCTTTATCCAGGATCATGAGGTTCAACCCAACGAAAATGGAATAAAAAATACAAATGCAAATGTTCAACTCACTCTTTTTCCCACCTATTTGCAGAAAAGAGGAGATGAATAGCTTTGTCTGTCAAATCAATATTTTTCTTAAGATAATCATTTATTAAACCTCCAATTGCAGTGTTACGATCTGAAAAAAAATCATACACCACTATAAACATAAATAAATTTCTAAAATAATTAGGAATAACCAAGCTAGATGGCATTCACAACCTTTAAGTAATAATAAACTGTACTCATTGGTTTTAACATGGTTTTGTATATTGTGTGATGGTTTTCAAGCATCTTTGTAGGACTGATGTAGTATTTTTGGAATCTTTTAACCTTCTATCCTCATTAGCAAATTCCAGAATATTTATTTTAATACAAAGAATTCCTACAGATTCCTTATGCATGCATATTTCCAGTCATTTTATGATAAAACCCTCAAAATTAAAACATTCATAAGGACACTAAATCTGTGGACCAATTAAAGCTTCCTGTGAAACAATTTTACAATTTCTCTCATGGCAGTAACTCTTACATGATATAGGACAAATCCAGACAAATATCCTGAACTGTATTCATTGATAGATTAATAATATAGTGATGGTACACTATATCACGTGGGAAATCACATGTGCAAACATACTGATCAACTTTGCCTCAGCAGTTCCTACAATACTTGCCTGGAAAGCAAATTAATCTGGTTTCAATATTCCTTTGGTGTAGGGCATCAACAAGTTTCTTGCATTGGGTTGTTTTCCCTACCCTGTCACAACCTTCAAGCACTATAAGCGCCCCTCTTCGAGAATGTAACCCCGACATTGCCATTAGTATCAAACTCCCGCGCTTAAACCATTCACCAACCTCCCACGCACCATTTTGTAACCTAGAAACGCCAGATTTTACCACAGATAATTAGCCTATAAGGAACTCTCATATGAGCATATCAATTTCCTCCATGTGTATTCTGTCACTACTTACAGTTTACTAAACATCCTGGATCTATACATTATTAATATAACTACCGAGAGCAATTCTTGTAAGAAAACTGTAATACATATTGTCCCCAACTGAAAAATCTGTGAATTCCCGTCGACTGTACTTCGATCTATTTGTCGAGAAATAGCCTAGCGTCATGATTTTAGTGGTTTTCTTCGCTTTGACCACACAAATGCCAGAGTCGTACCTGAAATTAGCCCATTACCGATTCTTTCCAAACCATTTCCAGTTAATTTTTATACACATCATTCGCGCTATATAGTCTGCAATACTTACAGCATTGTGAACTGAGCTATAAGTAAGCAAATAAGTAATGAACTATAAGATATGAACACAGTTTGTGGAGAAAAAAGTATCAAATGGGATAAACATAACTAAAATAAATCATTGCGAGCATTTATTATATGCAGTGGTAGTTACTTGCTTAAGTAGATGGCCTGAAAAGATATGTTTTATTTGTATGTATGGATTGGACAGTTTAATGTCTGCTCCGGCCTCAAAATTCTCTTGCCAGCTTCTTGTGGCGTCATAACCAAGAAAACTAAGGTCCAAGTCTACTGAATAGCATGCTCTCTAGTGGTGGAAGCTGTTAGTGAGATCAATTCCACGGCAATTGCAAATACGGAACAGTCCACACGTCCACTACCCATTGTTTCCAATAGTCACTGCAAACAATTGCCAACGATATACCTACTGGGATGAATCTTGCAGCCCATCGTCTGCTAGAACGAAAGGTCTACATTAATAGTGTTGTAACATTTAGTTATAGATAGTTTTAGTTGTGTTTCTCATTACAGTGCGTTAAATTATAAAACTATTACAATATGATACATGGATAGCTTTTGAAAATGGGAGTGAATGATGAATATTTTGATGGTTATAACCTCGCAGAATAAAGCAGATCCCTGAACAGTTTAAATCCTCAAGTAAAAGTTGGTCAGTTGTAATTAATTAAAAACATTTTTGTTAAAGATGGATCAATTGATGCTGGTTGTTGCCGCAATACATCTCCTTTATTGTCCTTTCACCAAAGTTGAAGAAAGTTTCAATTTGCAAGCTACACATGACATTCTGTATCATCGACACAATATTACCAAGGTAAGCATCTTTCTTGTTGATTTTGAACTAAATCATTAGAATAAATTTCCTATATCATGTTCATAGAAAATGCATTGTTGTGGTACTTGTTATTGGCCAATACAGTTTTAGAACTGTGTTGCTAAACATAATTTATGAGAACTCTTCTACTTATTTCATTTCTCTTTTAGTATGATCATCATGAGTTCCCAGGAGTTGTACCAAGAACGTTTTTGGGACCACTTGTAATTTCTCTTCTTGCATCACCATTTGTAGCAGTTATCAATGTGTTGGGCTTAAGCAAGTTTTATGCCCAGTTTGTAGGTAAGAGTACCATGCCTCAACTTTATTTCTGTTTCTGTTACATGCAACCTAATCATCTGTTTTAATAAATTGGAGTGCTCTGGGTATCTATGGGCACCAACACAAATTTTCTGGCAGAAAAAACTGAAGATTCAGCATGATTAATAACAAAGCCTAAACAAGTTACAGCAATGTCCCATTCTCAACTAAAATCTGTATTAACTTATGCTGGAATTGTTGTTGTTAGAACCGAGTCACCTTTTAAATATTTCAGTACACAAACTGGGACTCCTTGTTTGCATACAGTGATAGCATTCATATATTAACTGTTGAATTCTGTATCTACTTGCAGTCACGAATTGTTTTACCTAATTTTTATTCAATTTCATTGAATTTTGATATCTATACTATTTCAAATTTGTTACAGTACGGGCTGTTCTTGGGTTGTGCGTTATTGGTGCTTTCCGGATGTTCCGTCAGTCTATCCAGTTGGCATTTGGACACCAATTGACAAATTGGTTTATTGCAATAACTGTAACTCAGTATCATTTCATGTACTACCTCAGTCGAACACTGCCAAACATCATGGCACTTCCATTAGGTGAGAAATTCTGGAGCATACTTCTGGATGCACTACACCAAACCATAGCAATGCAACAAGATTTTATTGTAAATAAAGAGATTCCAGATGTATATAACAAAAGAATAGTTATAACACTCTTTGTAGCCATGCACTGGATGCTACAGAATTTAAATATGTTTATCCCAAAACCAAGATTTATAATGTAATAAGCACTGAACATTACATCAAAGTACAATTAACTTATTTTTTATTGTTTGGGTTTATAACGTGCATGTTCTGTTGTACCATTTTCACATTTTACGTTGCTTTTTAAAAAAGCTGTTAGATAATGAAGTCATGCCAAATTATTATATCATTAAAATATGTGCTGTCATAACTTGGTAAAACAATAAGTTTAAACTTTGTGTATATTTATCCCAGACTCTTCTAAAGCTTAACAACCAGCTTGGTAGGTAATTACTGATGTGTCAATGTGAGTGCAGTTTTTAATATAATTTTCTGTAACGAAACATTTTCCGTTTCAGTACTGCTTGCATTACAGAGTTGGATCAAACAGCACCATGCAAAATTCATCAATTTTTCTGCTGCTGCTATTATCATATTTCGAGCAGAGCTTGCAATATTCTTGGGCATTTTATTGCTTATTGATCTAGTCAACCAGCAAATTCATCCGCTGAAGTAGGTAATCAAATTCAGTAGTTACGAATTTGCATTATAATCAAGGTTATCATTACTATGAACTCACAGTGAATGAAGAATATATATTTTGTTTTTGTAATTACCTTCAAAATAGACTCTTAATCGACTGAACAGTTCCGTGTCATATGGTACTTTGAGAAAACAGTACACATAAAAATAATGGAAGGATTACACGGCCTTCCATATATCTTTACTGATTGGTGAGAAGGGCTGAAGTTAAACATAACTTAATGACATAGATCCAAGCACCGTAGATATCCATATCTGTAAGTATGCACATTACATATCACCCATCACTCATTCATTCACACCACACATTGTACAGTGTCTTCAAGAAATTTACAGTCTCGTATTTTTTTCTTTGTGAATTTGTGAGAACATATTCTGTGTGCACTGAAAGCACTTTCTGTGATTCTTGTATACATGTCATGTCTTTCTTTGATTTTATGTTGTCTTATTTAAGGAGGGATCATTATTTATTTTTGTTCGTTTTTTGTATACATATGTAGGTTGCTGAAACTTACCATACCTGCAGGCTTAGTGTTCCTAAGTCTTACGATTATTGTGGATTCAATATTCTGGAGGAGATTACTTTGGCCTGAAGGAGAAGTTCTCTTTTTCAACACTGTTTTGAATCGCAGCCATCAGTGGGGTGTATCCTTTTAAATTTACTTTTGGATGAAATAAAATGTTTGTAGCCAGTACAGATGAACAGTAGATTCCGATTCTAAAATTTTGGGGGAAATACTGGATATTGTCCTTACATAAATTTGTCAATATATTTCCACAAATGCTCTGGCAGCCTATGAAAAATTTATAGTCAGCATATTACCTTCTCTATCAGCTATACATACCACACGGCTGATTAGCCAGACACATGATGGATTGTCTTAATTTGTGAGGTCAAACTTTCCAGTTGCTGATGGGCAGATGATTGCAAATGGAAATAAGGTAACAGGAAATTACTCTTTTAATATCTTGTAGGCATGGAAGTGCTCCTGGTAGCCTAGTAGAGCTGCAATCACTGGTATAAAGCTTATGAAGCTATATAATCTGTAGTACCTACAATTTAAAAATGATGCATTGTTTTCAGGAGTTACATGAGACTCGAAATTCATAAATACAGAATGCAGTGTTACCGACTTAAAGCAGATAGCACTTATAGTTACCACTTGGCTTTAAAGTGTTACGTTCAGAATATAGTATACATGATATCAATTATATTTTCAATTTAAAATGTCCCTGTCTTACAACTGAATTTATACTGTTAAAGCAATTATTATTTTACATATTGCCATTAACTATATTATCAGACTTCACCATTTCTCTGGTACTTTTATTCTGCCATTCCTAGAGGAATGGGATGCTCCGTTTTTCTCGTGCCATTAGGAATATACTACGAAACTCGTATGAGAAGGATACTACTGCCAGCAATTGTATTTGTCTTCCTCTTCTCATTTCTGCCACACAAAGAACTACGCTTCATCATCTATGTCTTTCCATTATTAAACTTAACAGCAGCTAGTGCTTGTCACAGAATGTAAGTAATTCAATCTAAAGCTGAGATTATTTATGTTCTGTTATTTTCACTGTTAATTCTTTCCATATAACTTATTCTTTTACAGTTTTGAGAATCGTGGCAAGTCATCTTTTCACAGCTTCCTGGCACTTGGTGTGTGCTGCCATCTAGTTCTAAATGCGGTGTTCTCTGTATTCCTACTATGTATCGCAGGAGCAAACTACCCGGGTGGTGTTGCCATATCACGACTTCATCACTTGGCTAAAGATGAACAATTTGTATTTGTACATATTGATGTGTTAACAGCACAGACTGGAGTTTCAAGGTTTACAGAGGACAATCCTAATTGGAGGTAAAAGTAGTTTTGAAATGGGGTTATTTTATGGAATATCATTTTGTCCATACTTGAATATATCTATATTCGGGTTGAGAATACTGATTTGACCGTAGAGACTTTGCCCCTACTTTCTGATATACAGAGTAATGTTAAGTGGGATCCTTATCAGAGATATTCTCTCACCATAAAGGAAGAACATAGATTATGTTTGGGAACAGGATAGTAAGGATAATATTCTGACCTAAGAAAGTGGAAGTAACAAAAGCCTATATAAATTGCATACAAAGAAGCTTCTTAATTTGATTTGGACCAAAGTCAAATTTTGCAGTATACAGAGAAGTATATGACATCTGACTATATATAGTCAAATTCTGTAGCATTAGAGTGAGGAAAAGTGCCTCTCTGTGAAGTTAGCTAATTAAAACTGAAATAGAAAATGTGCTTATTATCTTTGCTAGCTGATGGTACAGAAGTAATTTAAAATTCATGTCAAGTGTTTAGATATAACTTCATTGTTCTAAGCAGATTTTCTATTTAATTTCATCCATTTCTTTTCTCTTTCAGGTACAGTAAAGCAGAAAATTTAACAAGTGGCAGTAAGGAAATGATGACATTCACACATCTGCTTCTGGAAGCAAAGAGCAAATACTCTCAAAATTTAAAACCATATTCAAGGACACATGATATCTTAGATTCCATTGAAGGTTTCTCTCACATAACCTTAAATTATAATACCTTACCACCAATTAGAATTAAAACAAAGCCCATGATATTTATCCTGAAAAGAAAGGAGGCTTATAGTGATGACAAATTCAAATATACAGAAACAGAAGTAGTACCTGGTGGCAAAGAAAAGTTGCCAGTTGAGACCAATGTTTTACAAACTGACGTGGATCAAGAGTTTTTGGGTGAAGCTGAAGATGTTTTAGAACTACAAGAAAGCTTAGAACCAGCAGATGGGCTTCTACAATCAAGTGATATAAATTTTGATGATTATGATGATGTATTTGTTAATCCATTAATAGAAGATAATGAAGATGATGTGCATCAGGAATCTCCACTCATAGACCTGAACATAGAACCTACTGAAGACATAGAAGAGGAAGTGCAGCTGTCAAAGTTGATGCGCATGTCAAAAGAGGATTTGATAAAGGAATTAAAGAGAGCTGAAAACAAAGCAAAAATATATCCAAAGTCAGGAACTGTAAGGAGGAACATCAAAAAAATTATAAAGGAATACAGAGCTCTTAAGGATGGAAAACGTGTTAAAGTAGAAGAAAGTACACATAGAGACTTGTCATCAGGTGAGGATGACAAACATGGTGAATATGTACAACTGCAGGAACCACAGTTTCCTACAGTGCATGAGGAAAATTACAGTAAAATTCATGCTGAAGGTGAACAGGTTACTAGAAAACCAGTACTTGAAAAATACAAGGCAACACACCTTCAGCAAAATACAGATCATGCAGCCCTTCCTGTTGAAACAGAGACAGCAGTTTCATCTCTGCCTTTTGACAGTTTAACTATTCAAGAACAAGACGAGACTAAAGTAGAGAAAGGCAAGAAAGGTATAAAGAAAGTAATTAAAGAGCACAAAATATTAGATCAAAACATGGACGAAGAATCTCTAATGGCTGTTGACAATATGACAGATGATGTAACAGTACAAAGAAAAACATCCACACAGAAAATCAGACCTGCCAAACAAGCACTCAAAACCAAAGTGTCGGAACAGGGAACAGAAAATTCGGAGACAATCACAGAACCACAAGAAAGGCCTGTGACTATTGAAAACCAACCCGTACAAAACAAAAAGATTGAAGTAAAAGATATAAATACAAATGAGAAAGGTACAAATAAAATTATTTCAGAACGGAAAACAGCATCTGTTCTTGATAATGATGCAACGGGCTCAGATAGAAATCTTGATGATTCAGAAAATGGGACCAGCGAGAATGAGCCACCATCACATACTCCAAAACATAAGATAAGAGCAGCTGGTAAGAAAGTTAAAGAAACAAATGAAGGAAGTGATGCTGCAGAAATTAGTACAGAAGAGCTTCAAGGAATGCAGCTACAAAGTGAGCAGACTCCAGAGTCCAAGACTAGAAGGAAAACTGATGAAAGAAAAACTAATAAAGAAATTTTAAAAGTTTCTGATGGCATACAGCACACGCGTGTACCACCAGAACATAGAAGTAATTCTGATGATAAAGACAAATTAAATGCTGCAGATGCTTATGAAGAAGAGACTGAAATATCAGTTCTTCACAACATGGATACAATTTCACAATCTATAATTCACGTAACATCTGCAGAAGAAATAATACCTGTGAAAAATGAAATAGAGATGCAGCATGGCGAGAAAGTGTCTGATTTAATAAACCCAGACACACGTGCTCAATATCACGTTCATCATACAAAAAGGTCTGTGGAAGAAATCAAGCCTACAAAGGTAACAGTAATAGATGCAATTCATCCAGAAAAAATGTCTTTTGGAGGTTCAGTAGAATCTAAAGGTTTATCTCAAAGACAAATGTCCACAGAATTGGATGACATAAATATGCAAATTTCAGAACCAAGTGAAGACAAGATATCAAAACAAGACGCTGCATCTCAAAAAACAGAAACCATCCCACCAGTCGTACAAGATGAGCGTGGAATCGAAAGTGACGAAACAGTAGAATATGAACATGCAGCAACAAGAAAATTAGGCGAAGAAGTTATTCAAATATAATGCTAAATTATGCTGTTTTTGGTCTGTGATATTGTGCAACAAGAAAGTGCAGCAGAACCACGAGAAGTGCCTTAAAAATATCATGTAGTTATATTTATATGATACTGTGACCAATAATACCTCAAATTTACCCTTAAAACTGCACAATTTTTTTATCTAATATTAAAAAGGGTATGATGGCACGATTGTACAGAATGCCACATACTTTCTTGGATCTTTTTTGCAGTTCCCTGTATGTTAACACAAATTAATGTAATCTGTTAAGATAAAATTATTCTGCCAAACAAAAGTAGCTTTATCGAAGTGACAAAGAGTGCAGTGACAAATAAATTATATATTACGGAGTTTGGATCTTACTTCAACAGAAATATGGTACATCAATTTCTTTTAAGTGTTTGAAACATCTATTCAAGAAAATGTGAACCCTGTTTACGGATGCATAAATGAAGGGTCTGGATAGTCAGACATGTGCATTACTAGGGGTGAAAATGCTATTTAACTTTATGTTTTTATATATCAACAACTACTGGACAGATTTTCAGCACACCTCAGGCACTTTAAAAAAAATTGGCACACCCTTTATCATAAGAATCATATTGCAAGAGTAAATGACAGATAATTATGTTCTTTCAGATATTAATTAGTGCCAAACACTCATCCTGATAACTATCTTGGTTCTTGTGAGGTGAAAATTGTTTTCATCTGCACTTCTGATGATTAAGAACACCTATTCCTTGAATTTCTTTAGCAAGCATTAGCATTCTTGTTTTAAGTAATCTGTGAGGTCAGAAACACATTATGGAAAGCATCTACATGTATGAACCATATTTAAGAAAAAGAAATCCAATTTTGAGTCAAGTGCAAATATAAACAGCATGTTATTTTGAATGTTTCAATTCTTTGTGGCACCTTGTTCTTTGCAGTAATAAAAATTTCATTCCTCACATTATTTAAAAAGAAAAATGAATTCTCAATACTGTTGGGATAAAAGCACATTCTTAAGTTCGTTAACACATAATAAGAAAACAGCCTAAATGAAAATTCTCTATGATGCAAATGAAACTTTATGACTTATTCATTGGACACTGTCTGAGCACAGCATCTCAAGAGTTGGCTCTGCTCCCATCTTCAGTATAATTAAATTGTACTTACACTGTGCAGTGTGTAAATGATTAAACAAATGCAAATTTGTAAATATTAGGCACAGTTTTTATTTTAACACCAATAGAGTACACACAATAATCACTGCGTGTTCCCTGAACAATCGGGTGAGTAAGTAATATGTAGAGAATCTAGTTTCTTCATGAAATTACAATGGCAACATATCATTTACTATGTTCATTACTTACATTTTGTACTATGAGTGAATATATTAGTACAGAGTTCAAGCTTTCTTTGGGAAAGACAACTCATACAAAAACTTCCCACTCAGACCCACTCCTATTACACAAATGGCCACCGTCAGTTGATACAAAAGCCTATCTATAGCGCCACCTTTCAAGTGTATTAGTTTACCATCATTAACCTGCCAAAAAAAACATGATATTAGTCACTTTCAGAACTATAACACTTTGAAAAAAAAATTAAAAAGCATGCAACTGTTGGTTAACATGCATGTCCATCCATCCATCAGAAAGTAACAGTGCCTTTAGAGGATTGGATGAAACTCAATGACCGACTTGTACCAAATTTTGTCCAGTCATTTAGAATTTATGGGCCATTTTATTCAAGGGACTAAATGAACTTACGCATCTCTCAAATCTTCTAATTATTTTAATTCATTCACTTTAATTTTGAGGGACACATATTGTGGTGCCTAAATACATTCTTAGGCACACATCAAGTATTCATCTGGAAAAAAAAATATGTCAAGTAAACATTTTAGGTAACCATTAATTACACACTGCCTTATACAATATTTCTACAACCCCCACTGATTATAAAATCACAAATAGATGTGGATGATCAAAGCTTTTGTCCAATTACATATATTTCACTCACATTCCCAATAGATGATCAGTATTTTGAAAGGATCTGACAGATCAAGAAAGTACTTATACTATCATGTAAAGTGGTCACTCAAACTGCTTAATCTGAATGAAAATTTAAATGGCTCAACAACTTTTCAAAAAATTCTGCAATATTAAATTTAATTAAATTTGTTTAATAAGTCCCCAACTTGTATCATGCGGCACTGTGATTTTAACAGGCCCTCCACAGGCATGGGTATGCACCTTACAAGCAAATGATACTCTATCTATATAAGGTTATGCTCGATTTCAACATAGAATACAAATTATTTTTCACTCATACACATAGAAAATGTAATGTTTCACAACTTAGATGAATCATAAAAAAAACTCAGGTTGCACTGTACACCTGACATACATCAGTCAACATTGTCATGTGTCTATGGAGCTCAAACCTCTTCTACCCGAAAAAACAATTTACAATGTTTACAATGTCATTTGATACTTTATCACTTACCTGAAACTTTGCCTGCTTTGCCTTCAGTTTGCTATAATCAGCCACCTTTCTTTTATCAATTACCTGAAACTTTGCCTGCTTTGCTTTCAGTTTGCTATAATCAGCCACCTTTCTCCCAGCTGACATGTGAGCCTGTGAGGTACAGAACTGTCTTGCACTTAGCTGTCCAAGCTGGAGCAATTTCTGAAATTCATGAAAAGTACCATACTCCAACTAAATTTAAGATATGCCTTTAACACATTCAGACTCATGTCATGTAATTTGTCCTCTGTTAGCCTTCTGCCTGTTCCATTTAAAATACTACTGCAAGATGCTATCAGCTAATTTCTTCTCTGGGGATTACCAGAGGCAGGGCCCTTTTAATATTAATATGTTCTGCTTTGATAGGAAGAACCTGACAGTTAAGTGACCATGATTCAAAATTATTGATGACAGAGGATTTAGAATCTGTTGGTTGTTCACAATTCAATTTGTACATTTCTAATTATACCATAATGAAGAAACAGTAATCTGAGACAAAACAATTTCAAAACATATTTAAAAATATGGATGCAAAAACTTTGCCTTCTGGACAAAAATAGATTTTCACTGGAAGGGAACACTGGACTGCTGATTTCCAGCCAGGTTGTGAAGATGTTAGTCAAAGGTTACCCGATAGATTTCGGCTACTATTTTGTTGGAATTATACTAATATTTATTATAATGATAAAATAAATTTAGTTGATTATGAACAATGTTCTACAAAAAGGAATGAAGGCATGCAATGCAATATATACAAATGAAGCTAAAGCCAATCCACTGTGACCAACACATTCTTCAATGCAGTCCACTAAAATCAATTTAAAGCCTATGACTACAGACTACAGGCCTCTGTGAGAACAAAAATTCCTTCATCACTATAATTACCATCATCATGTGAGATTTTAGGTTTTCATAGCACTGAAGATGACAATGTTCTTGTTCCAGGTTGTGATGCAGACTTACAGGTCAATAACAACATTTCAGAGAAACATACCATATCAATCTTCAGGGCTCTAAAATGTTGTATCTACTCACAAGTCTACATGGGGTCATAACCCCGAACATCGTCATCTTGTCAAGTAAAACACCATTTATCCTCTTATAGTATCATGCTATCTCGTCAGTATACATAACATTGTTCCTGGTCCTTAATTAAGTGTGACGGAGTGGAAGTATAGCTCAATGCATTCTTAACCTTGACACCAGATAGTGGTGAGTGATCATAATAAACTCCTGGAGAAATTGTCCCAAGTACAGTCCCTCGCCCCAAACACACATTCCTCACTAAATTTGTAATAAATCTCTAACTGAAATCAGATTTTAGTATCACACCCACTTAATAAAATACGACTTTTAAGATATTTGAACATGGCCTAATATGTTTAAAATGTTCCTGTGAAAACTTTGAAACACAAAATGAAATATTAACTGTTCTTCCTTCCATTACCTTTGCAGAATTCATATTTTCTGAGACTGGCAACTATATCTGCACCGTTACCAATATTGCGTACTGCCCACAATATGGAGGAAAAGCAGATCACATGACCGGAAATATATTTCTTGTATTTTAAGAAAAATGAGGGTAGAAGAGTGTAGCGCAATATTCATACTCTCGTTCACTAACATGTAATGTTCAAAATGCAGTGCAATCAAACTGAACTTTCACCTTGCTCCTATGTTGAATTATACTGTATAAAATCCTTTGACTATATCTACACATTACTGAGCACTCTAATGAGTAACAAGAATGTTATTTTTCTAAATTATCAACGAATACTTTCAAAAGGACTCGGTTAACTCCTTTTTGGCCCAATTAACCGGAATCTACTGAATATTTAAATGCACTAAGTAAACAAATTCATTGTACGCGTATTTGATAGTAAGAATATGTTAAATATTTACAGTTATGTAAATTTAAAGGAATCAAATGATGAAAATATGAAGAATCACCACCACCTAGATCATCATAATGCTATTTTTTCAGGCTATGGTTATGCCATGTTTTATAAACAATGTGAACTGGGTGGTACCATTAAAACGCTAATTTCTTCTTTACAAAGCGTTATTTGTTCACTGTGCAATATCTACACGTTTTTTTAAAGGTATTTCAGTTTATGATTTGTAGCGAATAAATAATATAAAAAAATTGTGAAGCCGTGGTAAATGTCTTCAGAACTCTGCGCTGTTGATCCTGCAACCCGTACCCTATTTGACTGACTCCTAACCACGTAAAAATCGTGCTGTAAATCAAGAAATTTCCCAAGTTTTGTGGAACCAGTACATTCATTATCACAAGCTTCAGATCATTCATTCATTTGACTTAGACAATGAATCTCGCCTGTGGTATATTGTACTGTTTCCAACATAATTATGTATACACAATTTTGAATTGGTGCATTAAAAGCACTTTTTTTCTTTCAGGTTAGAATGGTACACAATAAAACAGAATACAGATTACAATTCCATCTTCTAGCAAAGGATCTAAGGAAGCAAATATGGCAAGAAAATATAAAATTTAGGTATATACCAAGTACTTCACATTTTATAAATTGCCGTATGTAATTTAGGGAAAGGGGGTAAAGACAAAAATCAGTAGTACATTAAGAAAGTTGGTGGTGGTCGAGAGTTAATTTGCTTAAAGTAATGCCACTGCATGGAGAATTTAAGTATGCCATCTTCACATTAGTCTGAGGTACTGTATATTTGCCATGTATCACATGATACAATACCTTTCTTGAGTCTCTGATATTCATCTGTTTAAGAAGTTCCTTGTTTTTGTACAACCTGAAGGTTCATCTCTGTCAACATAAAAGTATGCCACTGGACAAAATTCTAATAAAATTCCACACATTTTGTATACTGATCAAATTTAATCTTTCCACTGTTTTTAAACTAGTTTCATGCATTTCTTGTTTCTGCAATGTGTGCTACATGTTTGTCCCATTTCAACCTTCTTGATTTAATAACTTCACAATAGTGTATTAATATTAAGAGTAAAATATAAAGTTGCTTAAAATTTTAAAATATCTAGGTCTGCTCTTAATTTAGAAAGAAAATGTTTTACAATCTTTCAAAGAGATAAAATTATTAGAAGATGGCTGTCTTATGGGTTATTGTGCCGTGTAGCCTGGTAGTTTACCTAACTATCAGAGGTTCTTGCTACCTTCATCATCAGGTTGATAACTCTTTGCCCTGTTGATGGAAAAAAGGATTTCCTACCAGACTACACAGTGCCCCAACCCAGATGACAGCCATCTTTGGACTAAGTGCCATGAGAACCTCATATCCTTACCTAAGTAAAATTGATTTTTTAAACCCTCCAAAACTAAATATCCCAAAACATTGAACCTTGTATTATTTACTTTGATAAGGTTTCCATTTTTGTTGAAGAGAATCATGTCGGTCATTAAATCGTGCAGATCACTATTGGTCATACCAGTTGACTGACGAACAATGCGAATGTGATAATGACAATGATGATGAAGATGAAACTACTCTTCCACCACACAAGTAAGTAAAAATCATTTCTAAACTCCTATACCTTCATACTACAATAGTGAATTCAAACTTCAGACCATATAAATTTCAAATTGGTGAATAGTTAATCTGTGGGAGGAAGTGTGATGAGGATAAGAATGAATTTTGTGATCAATAACATTGAAGGGGTTTACCAGGGGAGAGATTTCTCTATCACTCAAAGCATAATTAATTATAACAAATAATTTGTTGTCCTTACATTCATAGATTGAAGCATAAAATTCTGTTGGCTCAGTATAGAAGTGTCCAGTCTCAAAGTGGGAAAGAAGGAGTACCAAAGCTACAAGAACTTTCTTTACCTAGTGAAGTGCAAAGACAGATTCATCAACAAGTACAGCTGACAAATCCAGAGAAAAATACATCATTTGGCAGAGACATGGCTGTCCAAACCACGGAATTGGGATCACAAGAACAGAGGTACTGAACTGCATGTGATAGTACCGATCATAGACAACAGAAATAAAATAGTCTTCGCTGTGACGCCAGCCTTGTGCCAAGTCAGGTATCAAGCCCCTATCTTAGAAACAAGGGTATTGTCCTATGTAACAAATTTAGTGATGTGCTGAACATATTTTGTGATACATAGATTTAAATTGTTAAGACTCCAAATGTTTTTGTAAACTTTCTTCTTTAAGAGGAAATTACACAAATCCAAATAAGGAAATATCTGCAAAGTACCTGGTATAAAATGTATTTTCTGCAGTTGCAAACCTACATGTATTCTGTGTGCAGAAACGACTGGGTAGATCTCCAACTTAACCTTGGTTACCTGTGGAATCTCTAAACATCCAGAACAACTCTGATGTCACTGGCTTCATTCACAAAGGTCATATACTTAAAAACATGCCACAATTTTACACTGTGCGTGTGTTTCTGAACTTGTTGTCCCTATGATGGAATAAAAGAAGATACAGCTTAATAAAATCCAAACCACGGTGGAGCCTTGGTGTTCTTCACTTTCACAAAACTTTAAAAAATCTTTGGAAGTGTCTAGTGTCCAAATTTGATTGCTGGATGTATTATGGCATTGGAGACTCTGACAAGGTAAATGGTGGACCAGGTCTAATAAAGATTTGAAAACTGCTGGATTT